ATATCTATTATTACTGCGCATTGTATTTGTGTTGGCGATTATATAAAGTCTGGTTTTCCAGGTAGCAATTTTGTTAATTACCATGAACTGATGGTCAGTCTGCTGACAATTCCAAAGTCCACTTCGTTTTCTGAAAGGTTTACTAGCTCGACGGTTCTGCCTACAGAAGTACTTAGCAAAGCTTTTGCCGTCTTGAATTGCCCTTGGTAGGTCTTGAATGTCACCGGCTTGTCGCCAAACACTGACAGCCTCAGACTACATGAGGTATTTTGGACATGTAACACATAACAATTAAAGAAAAACAAATCTTTCGCTTATCTTTTCCTCAGAATTCTGTGTAATAATTTTAAAATTCACCTCAACTTTTTCGATGACCTGTTTTCCGAATGAGCACACTTTTGTGGATACCGTAATATCAAATTGTTGATTGCTTTCATAAAAGCTATCCACTGCGTAGAGAGCTGAATTATCGTCTGGAAGTGAAAACTCAATATTTGCCCAACATTTCACCAGGAAGAAACCATCGCGAGGCCCTGTTGTGAATAATTCACCAAGAACTGGCGGATATTTCTCGGCGATATCATCCAACTTAAAAGTCTGCAAAATTCCGGAATTTTTCAGGTAAAAAATAGCAGGATCAAAACATTCTCTACAAATTTTCTTAACGAGATTAAAGCAATCGTTTATCGATGTTTCCAAATTTTAAAATTAGCTATTTTTCCTTTCTTCTTTCCTTTCTTTCTCCTCCAGTGTGCTTCATTCCCTCATCCTGGTATCATTCTTAATTGAACAAAATGAATGATATCACTTGATCAAGAGCAATCTGCTCTTGATAAACATATACAGTTTGCATTTGTATGTTATATGCACGATATATTATAGGTATCATATAAATAGTACGCATCACATATATCGTATGATATATATATATATCACATATATCGTATGGTATATATATCGTATATATATCATACGATATATGTGATGCATCCTATTTATATAATATATCGTGCATATAACATACAAATGCAGATGCTTTAATTATGTTATATACATATATACCAAACACATTTTTATTTCGCCTATAAATGACTCTTGCTCTAAAGATGACTCGTGAAAAAAACCGAAAAATGATGGTTGTAGGGATAAGTTACCCGAATTGCACCTTCCTTCACCTAGCTATCTGCCTGTTTTTCAAAAAGTGCCTGCAGAACGCATTTTCACACCAACACCATCCAAATTTTCACTTCGTTTAGTCCATTTCAAAGTCAAAACCCCTTCCGTATTCTCTATAAAGGCGGAGGTACCAGGAGTAACTACTCAGCGGCAAGACTATCCATGGCTATCTACTTCAAGAGTTGTTTAGAAACAAACTAGCAACAGGCTCCAAAATTACAAAACTGCAAATCTATCATCTCTCGTATCTATTTCAAGTACGAAGCACAGATTTTTTGATGAAATTTTTCCAAAAAAGACTTTCCAAAATATCAGAGTATGATCAAGCCCTACAGATCCTCTCTTCCGCCATGGTCTTCCAGAATTCCTATAGCCTTTTAAGTTCTAACTTCGGATCTATTAAGTTAACTTATTCATTAATTGTACCTGAATCAACTGCATTAAAAATTCATTTCTATAAATGGTATGGACATTAGACGAATTCTTTCAAGCGAGAAGACGGACGTCAAAGTTTCAGTGCCAAGGTGACCATCAAGTAATGCAGCTTTGGCCAAAGAAATTCGAAAAACTGCCAATTGCATAGCTGAAGGACCATTGACCCTGGTCAAGGGGACCCAGCCAAATTTTTTGAGCTGTCTCAAGCTACTGATTCGGGATACTACCTCCAGTGGTTCATCGGCAAGTTTCGGTATTCGAACAAGATCCACCCGTGAAGCAATGTTGTTCGGGATCGGTTCCACATAAGCTGTAAAGCCGCATAATGTAAGCAGAGAAGAGGCAATAGCACGATCGTCCACTGTTGGCACCGGCGATACCTTTTCCAATGGAGATTGGCCATTCAGGGTTATCTGATCGTTGTTGCAACCATTCATTCTAAACTAATGTTGTATTTTTCAGAAAAAAAAAAGCACAGGAATCTAACATTTTCACTAGCTAAATACCAAAGGTACCAAAATTATCAGGAAATGGTGTTACTGAAATGATAAAAATCTCAAATGACTCTTCACTTTTTCACTGGTACTACTCACTTACAAGGACGCACACCGATTGTGAGCGAGACGGCCAACATATGCTGATTATCGAATTTTCCTTTTTCGCGTAGTATTAGCTTTTTATTTTATTTGCTGGAAATTGTTAAGAAACTGTAAGATCTGCTTTCCTGATTTCCAAAATCAAACTTTTTAAGGTTCTGTTGTTGAAGGAAGTAAGTTTTACAAGAAAACATATCAAGATTGCTAGGAGTACGACCAAATCGAAAATTAAGTCCTCTTCATGTTTCGTTTTCTGTGAGTTACTATAGAAGTGAATCATTTAGGAGAAAAAGTGAATTTCTCCATCACTAGCAGACTGACCGTTATGCGATGCAGCATTGGTCAAAACAACTGAAGAAATTGCTGGTTGCACAGATGGAGAACCAGACCATGAAATTTTAGTTGCTTACCGCACTTTAGATGTATAGAGTCATTTGAAAGTAGCTTCTTACAAACTAGTAACCACTCGAATGTAAATCAGTGGTATTTATTTCCAAGAATTTTTCAAAAAGCAAGCTGAAAAGCAGTCTGACTTTTTGATGTTTTAAACAAATCTCCAATTTATGCCTGAACTGA